ATAATAATAATAATATTAATATTAATAATAGCAATCATAATAAAAGAAAAAAAATATAAAATAAAACTCGCATGTTTTCGTATTAACGTCGGCGTACAGTTTCATCATGCGATTGTTCGTCTTTTTCTTATTTCAAATACTTGACTAATCTCTAATCAACTAACTATAAGGAGCTTAACCATTAAAACGCTCGCTCTGACAATTGTTCTCGTTTTTTTTTTATTTGTAAAAAAATGATTTGTCTTGCCGGAGCCGAGCTGATTGTGACTTGCAACGCAATTCCTGGCCCAGTACCGGTATCGCATAGTTATTATATACTTCATTCGGAAATTGAAAGGTCGAAGAAAAAAGTTGGTTTTATGGGCCTTACAGGCGACAGCGGAAGTAAAGCTAAAGTGAGAAATTGAGATTCACAGAAAGTAGATTTGGCGACAAGATTAGTTGAAATGTGGAAAACGCACGATAAGGGAGTCGTTAAAGTCGCTTTTGTACTGAACAAGGCTTAATTCACATTACGTCTCGGCATAGATTTTTTTGAAATTATTAAAAATTTCGTCAAAAAGTAGAGTCCATTACACAATAATCTCATTTGCTTCATACCTTCGAAAATAATGACGACTTTTTTTTAACAAAGCCTTTATCTTATTTATGTTTTCGTTGCAATAACTATATGTGTGTATCGAACGTTGTTACAATTTCGTCGCTAAAAAAATGTAATAAGACTAATAAATACGAATGAGCATGTGTTGAACTGGGTCGGACAAAATTCGTGCGTAGCAGCATAAGAACAGCTCGGGAATTTCCCATTGTCAGTTGTCAAAGAGAGAGTTGATTGTCGTTCAGACTGTACATGTAGTGATTAGAGCATTTTGCTATTTCTTCGATCATTTCTAAAGTGTAAAAAGGGGATACTACGAGTCTAAGAGACGCTATTATCGTTTATACGAACGTTTACTTTTCATTGTTTAGATCGCTACGGATTCAGCTATCATCTACACCTATCTAAATGGATCGCCTCGTGTCCAACGGCGATCAAAATATTTTCTATTAAAGGGGTTCGGCTTTATCGAAGGTGTCCTTTCACTGTTCAATGGTTTTGTATTATTTTTCTTCTTGTTTTTTTATAGCTTGCAAATTAGCATTTTAACTCTACACTTTCGTGTTTGTTTCAGACTATAAGACTCGACCATGCTTTTCCTGTAAATTATCAACATTCTACGGTAAAAATGACTTTCATGCAATAAAGAAAAGTAAAATCTGGAATGATTGCGAATAAAATGTTTGACGATTATACAGTTTATGTGAACAGTTTTGAATATACTTCAAAATTATTTACAGAACTTTTGAAACGTATATGACGCGTTGATTACAAGCGATAAATAAGAATAAGACACTAAAATCATCTCACTCTTTTTTTTTAAAATGATACACATTTATGTGTCTTCTTTCTCGCGTTTCATGCATCATCCATTTTCACTCCACGGATATTTGTAAACAATGTGTCAATTCACCCTGTTTGTCAAAAAACTTTTTCTGGCGGTACAGACCCGTAATTATCCTTTTTCTTTGCTCATGTCGGTATCAATATACTGATGTTGACTGAATCAATAAAAAGAATGTCAAAAGTAAAATTGTTAAAAATATAAAAATGACATTAAAAGAAAATGTACTGCTTTCATTACTTTTCTATATTAATCGAAAGTGCGAAGACTGCGTAAAATCATTCATACACTGTTATTCACTGTTCACAACGCCAAGCATAAATTAATGAGTTTTTTGCATCGTTTTCAGTTTACTTGTTACAAGTAAAATATAGAGCTTCACATGCTCGCGTATTTTTTTTTCTGGACACCTCGTTGCAAAACCAGCAAGATATCAAATATATAGAGATTGTGTATGTACGTGTTATAAACGAGATTAGGCATAAATTTTCATTTTTATGCAGTGAATGTTAACTCCAGTACTTCTTCGTTTTTTTAATATACTCTTATATCTTTTTTATATCTTTAATAATATTTATCTATACATTCTGTTGGCTAAGCATTTTATATTCCTACGTCGATAGATTTGAACTTCGCGTATTTCAACTTTAAGAAATTTTTTGTGACAAACAAAACTGATACTTTTATCAGTCAAGCAACTTGAAGCAAGAGTTCATTCGAGTACCCGTAAAATAATTGTTGTTTCTCCAACATCATTAAATTACGACGGAGTCCAAATCATTATGACACCTTGTAGCGAGCGCTGGCTAGCCCAACCCTCACCTCGGCCCCCCTCAACACAGCTAAAAGTTATTGTTCTTGTAGGCATCTGTTTCAAAGTATTCGCTTGACGATTAGAAAGGAAAGATTAATTATCACAATTTTTTATTATAAATTAAATAATTATTTTCAAAAAAGTAAAAATTATTGTTCAGTAGCATTGTTTTGGTACTCTTTGACTATAATTAAACGTGGAAGTCATATTTATAAATTTTCTTTCTCAATAGACATTGCGAAGCAAATGTCACAGATGACTGACGAGAACAATAGATTTATATTCATTATTATATTCCATTTTCTTTTCATCAGTTTGGCATATTAGAAGAATAAAGTCTCGTTCGCGCAAGAACAAAGAAGGTGAAAATAATTAAGAAAAAGGTATTTATCTTTAAAATATAAAATCCTAATGTTTTTATAAAACAAAAACTAGTAAACAAATATTAAATACGAATCAACATGTACTATAAGAATTCAGTTATTAATTGATTGTTAAAACATATAATGGTGTATCTGCCTTTATAAAAAACGGAAGGTATAATGAAAGAACTGGGTCAATGAATACTAAAAGATGCAAAAACTGGCCCCTATGCTAATGCCGGCTACTTGCTATTTTTCTCGTTACTGTTCACTTTTTCAGTATAATATTAAACTGCAGATCTAATGGATATAATGACTCCTATTTGAATAGCAATTATAAAAAATTATAATTGTTATAAAATTATAATGTGAAATTTTAGAAAAATTATAATTTGACTATTAACTATTACTTAAAAGTATAGGACTATTTGAAAAAATTCTCATTGGTGAGTTTAAGCCTATTTTGGCACAAACTTATTCCTTAACTGACCGTTCTTTTTCTTGTCTTTGGGCCGGCACTCGCTTGATTGTGACATCATTTAATAGTTTACTTTTTCATTTCATCTAAACATTGATTCTTAAAAACATTTATCTTCTTGTTTGCATTGCTCTACTTTATTCAACTAACAAGCACATTCTTGCTCAATCACTCATTCTAGCAGTCGCACTTTCTAATATAGATATTGTTAAATTTAATTGACTTTGACAGATGCGTCAATATTTATGTTAAAGTTTGTTCCATACTGTAATAAATCTTAACCATTGTTTCGTCGATTCAGACCAAATCATATAGAGTTTCTCGCCGCGAAAATGTACTCCGTTGAAATAATAATGACTTGGTTACGACAAATAACCATTTAATATTAACCGCGAGCAACGTTTTATATTTTAGAGCCTAGCAATATTTTTAGTACAATCATCGAGGATTTTTTTTATCGCAAAGCTCTATTTACGATTGAAATTTTATTTTTTTACATTAAAATTCTTCCAAATTTCCCGGTAAATCAATAAAAATTAACGGACGTTCGCAAATCTTTAAGCTCCGTTATTTAGGCTCTAAACGTTCACAATAAATCGACGATCGTAAATAGATACTTTGCAATATGCGATATGTTCAACGTTCAACGTTCAACGTTTACCTTTCCTCATTTCTCTCGGACTTAAACTTGTTAAGGATTTATGTTAATATTATGATCTAGTTTTTTTTTCTAAGCATCTACTTATACTATGTAACTGTATAATCCTTCACTTCGGTGTCATTCCTTTTATCTCAAACTTATTTTCCGCTCTGTGCTATGTATTCGGTATATTGAGTGTTGTAGTGTGCGCACTTATGTGCTCTGACAATGTGCGTATTGTATAATACTTGCGGATCAAGAAAAAAATGTAAACTCAAACTTTCAAAATCACTCTTGACAAAATATATGACCCAGGAGCGGAACAGCATCATTCTATCCAACTGTTCTTTCGAGAGAACGAAGCATTCTCAAGTTAATATTTGTCAGTTTGAAAAGAACGAGCTGCTATCTTGGCAGTAACACTATTATCATTTCAGAAGACTTATTGTATTTTATGAACTTGAAAAAAAGCCTTTCTAAAAACAAAATTGAAATAGTTTATTTCTTGAGAAATATAAGAAAATGGATAAAAGAAAAATGTAGAGCTGCCGACAGAGCAGTCAGATATGCACTCGATCTCTGAAATTCGAAGATTGGATTGACGATGCTCATCGACTATATTATGGAAAATCACTTGGGCAATCCAACGCAATGGTCCGCAATCTTTAAAAATCCGGAGCGCATCGCGACGCAACGAAGAAAGCGCGCAACTAGCACCTCGCAAGAGCTGCAAAGGGTCCCGTGACATTGGCTTTACTTTTTGTCTTATTTTTCAATCTTGTATATCTTAAAGGCTAATATTTCTCTTTTATTCATTACGCGGATAAAAAAAAAGAAACGAACCCACGACAATTGTTAAACTCATACAATCAACACTCCTTGACAATCCTACTGCGTATATTTTTCTCTCACGTTTAAACATTCTTCGAGCATAAAAACGCCGAGTGCTCGTTTTCTTTTCTTTATCCTTCTTATAGTTTATCTTATTCTCTTTTACTTTGTTTAATGCTTGAAATGAGCTAACCTTAAAAATCCTTAACTCCTACTATGCATCAGTGTAGTGCCTTTAGCCAACCTCGAACGATAATCTTAAAGACAAGGGTATATCTGAGATTTGTTTCAAATAGCTGGCCAGGCGGCTGTCACGCTTGTAATATATATATATATATATATATATATATATATATATATATATATATATATATATATATATATATATGTGTATGTATGTATGTATGTATATATGTATGTATATATAATATATTTGTCTTATGATTTCTATTTTTCTTTTTTTTTGTCTGTTTGTTTGTTTAATTTCTGTACAAGAATGAGGACCGTCAATCGAAGCCCCTTTCCGCATCGTCTCGCTACAATTACACCTGCTTTATCTCATTTTATATTTTAAAAAAAAAAATCTTTCGCACGCTCCAAAACTCATGGAATCCTTCACGTTAGACCAAATGACGATCATTGTACATCGGGCGTAGACATACTGAGAATACACAATAATTACTCTGGCTTCCGCTTATCTTTCTCACGAAAAAAAATAAAGATAAAAATACCACGGTTAGGAACAATTTGCATCTGTGTTTGTTGTTGTTATTGTTTTGTTGATTAATCGCAGAAGCTTAGAGACGATCAGCGTGTGACTCTCGTAAAATCAACGCAATTCTCAACCCTCTAAAACCTCTAATGCTGAAAAATATTATGTAATAAAAACAGCCCGCACGCACCAGGTGCACACAATAAAATGTCAAGAAGTTTGTATCAGACTGTTTGTGGACATCAGCAGTTTTAATCCGACTTGTATGTGACTTCTTATGAATGCTCGCGGTGCTCGTGTCCACATGCATCGCACTAATAATGCCACAGGGGCGAGCAAAACGTTTTGGCAGCTGAATTGAAGCATGCAAAACTCGTGTACACGAGTCGACGGTGAGATGAGGTCAATGGTTGTATATGCACATTTCAGTCGTGTACGGCACTGGGGTACCAATAGTGGACGAGGGTGTAGGGCTGGAACCACTGTTGCGGCTCGTACGCTGGTCTGTCTTGTTAGATGTTGCTCTTGGAGAAAGAAACCCTCAGGTGATTTGACTCACTCAGCTGGTAGTTGTGCATTTTCTGCAAAATAGCGACATTTTTTATCAAATTCTTTATAAATCGTAACCATCTTAAATTTCTTCTATAAGCTTACAATTAGAGCTGCTACAGCCTCATCCATATTTGGCATTTGAATGAGTGCCATTTTTCGGTCCTTGGGGAAAAACTTGAATGCCTTGACAGTGAAACCATTTTTCGTAAAAGCTTCTTTGATTTCATCTTCACATACTGTAGCTCTGTAGAACAAAGCAAATAATCATCAACCAAATGAGTTTTTAAATAAATTAAATTTAATAAACAACGAATGAACTTACGGAATGTTTGATAAATGCAATGTTGCACTTGGAGGGTAAATATTTTGATAATTCTTGGAGCCAGGCTTCTTAAAGCGATGAAGAGGACTATTGGTGTAGTCTTTAGTGAGACCAGCATCTGGCTGACCCTCGCGAGGTAGCTGCACTGTTTGGTGTTTGCTCAACATCACTCTGATAGGCTTGCCAAATACTTTTAACTTGTCCATGTGTGTCATCGCTGTAATAAACAAAATTAGTTAAATTTTCGAACTGATTGTGGCAATAGCCATGTAACTCTTGTACTTACCTAAGTGAGCTTGGTGAGGCTCGGCTAACTGAATCAATGCTGTGTCTTTTTTGTTGTAGAGAATCTTTACACGTTGTACATCCCCATATACACCTGAATACAAAAATTAACACATTAATTGACAAATTATATGTTGTTGTAAAAAACTTCATTATATATAAAAACTTTTTTTCGGTTTTTATTTTTTAACTTTTTATCAAATTAAGGCCTTACAATGTATAATACATGCGAAAACCGTCTTTATTTTAGATGTTCTTATTTATATATATATATTACGTAAGCTGTATAAGTATTTCGATATGTTAACTTTTCAAACGGTTGGTTACTATGTTATTGTTATTACTAAAACTAGAAAAACTAATACATTCAACTAATTATCGACGATGATGTCATTACAGTGCAAATCTAAAAAGAAAACGGTTTTGGAAGTGAATTCCTAGCAGTTTTTCAATAAATTAAGCAGAAGCTGTAATATAGTTTAGAATTGATAAAATATAAACGTAATTTATGAAAAATTTAGAAAAATATACTCAGAAAATGTATAGAGAAAAAACATGGCATTAGGCTTTTATGACACATGTATGTATTATGATCAGCGAGAGATAATATACGAAGCTACTTTTTTTTGAAAAATTAACAATATTATGATATGACAATGCAATAATACGTAGGTATAGAATGTAATATGTTAACAATGGGCTGAGTAAAGTCAAGAGAATGACGAAAAATTTAACATGAACATTAGTGAACGGAAATATAAAGCAGTAAAATAATAAAGTATCAAGAAAAACTAAATAAAATTTTTTAAAGATAATATTAGATGAATGTGTATTTTTAGAGATTTTAATTGATGATGGTTGTGTGACGGATCCTCCAATTAAAAACAAATATTTTACTTTTTTTTACGTAATAAATAACTTTAATTCTAAGGGCTAGTTTCGTATAGTTTCACTTTTTATCAAAATTAATTAAATTGAAATTCTGACACTCACAAATAATAGTAAAATATAGCCCAAAAGTTATAAAAAAATTTTTTCTTTGATATACATAATTATGAAGGTATATAATAATTAATAATGTATTATAATTAATAATATAAATGTGGAGACGTACCAAACAGGGTAAAGAGAGCGTCAGGCGTGACCATCTACACAGAGAACAGACAGAGTTGAGTCAATAGTCAGCAAGTAACAGGATTTTATGTCATAGTATGAGCACACGCAAAGTTTACCGTTTTACTTTTATTCTATTTCTTAAGCAACGAGCAAATAATCTTTTTTTTTGTATCAAAAGAAGTACAAACAAACAAAATAATATTTTAATAAACGAATAAAAGCTTTTTCTACCGGAAATTTTTAAATCAAATTTGTATCAAACTCGAAGAAAAAATGCAAGTCAGATAGTAGCTCAAGTAAAGTAAAAAACTGCTATGCATAGTTGCATGACATTTTTCGTTCGAATATTAACGAACAATAATATTCGATTATATAAACGATTAATTATTGAAAATATCAACCATTAATTATTTAAGTTTCAAACGCTTTTTCACCGTCACTGCGTAAGAAAGATAAAATATCTCTCGTAATAGGAAAAAATAATGTTCACAGGCATACAATAAATCATAGCAAAGAGGCGAGTTTAAAGGTAAAGTTTGCTTGTACGGCTTAAAAAAATTGACAGTAGTACACACAGTTATGTAGTATAGTAGTGACAAGTTGCAGCTGCGAAAAGCGAAATAGGTCGATTTCGCGACCTCTTGAGGCGTCCTCGGCTCATTAGTAAATAAAGAGTAATAAGGAGCATAGAAAATTAAGCGAATGTTCGTAGCTTGGAAAAAGTTCATTACAGAGAAAAGTTAAATAAATAAAATGGAGACATAAACAAGGTAAATGTTTGATCGCACCTCGTGTCAAATCGAGGCTGTAAGTGTTGGTGTGCTAGGATTTTTATAGTCGAAGACGCCTCGAGAATGGTTTAACAAAAATAATGTTTCAATGACAACTTTATGTTTTTGCATTTTATTCTAAGATTTATATATATACAATCGCAATCTTTCCGCTATATATATATATATATATATATATATATATATAGCGGAAAGATTGTGATTGGATAGTGATTCAGCTATTTTTTCATTCTTTGTGTAATTAATTTGAAAATGAAGTCTTTTAGATAAAGGTAGTTATAGATTTGAGGGTAAAAGAATAATACGCATACGCATTATACGTAAGCACTCTAGCTATTTAAAATATAAATTATTTCCATAACATATCGTGGAATTGCATATAGTAGTAGCACAGTTTTTACATAGAAAAAATATACAGAAAATTATTGACTAATTAAAAGTATTGAACTAAAGTAAAAATTTTAGAATATACTTAATTGATACGTAGAAATGTAAAAGTATAGCTACATATTTAATGTTAATATATAAAATATACATTTTTTTATTTTAAATTATTTTGATAACTGGACTAATAGAGTACTAAAGTCTAAATACTTGAAGGACTTGCAATAAACAAGTGTAATAAAGCAAACGACAAGAAAATGTTGTTATAAAATTTGAAATAGTTTTATTGAATGATTTTATTTATTAACAAGTCCTGTAAATGATTTATCACCTACGTAATAAAATATATTAAGAGTAAAGTACTGTTCTTTGCGATCTTCAGCGGGCTAAAGAACAAAAATACTAGACCTCATATAATTACACGTTCGTTTATATTGCCAATCATAATTTGTATTGTTCAGAGTGATTACTTCATGGTACAATATTTCCACAAAACTTAGGTTAAAATAAATATGTATAAATCCAACTGCAATTATTAGTGATAAAATTGCAAGATTATTCTAATCTCATTTAATTACTTAATATAAAATATAAAACTTGAATGCGCGGTAGATACTTTTTTGTGGTTTCAATCGTATTAAAATAAATACTAAGTGATTGATGATGAGAAAGACCGACGTGATATATTCGATTTTAATCGATGAAAATAAATTGCAGTTTTGAAATATACGCATTCAGTTTTGAAAGTACAAAAATGAATCAAATGTTTTTCATATACCATGAATATGAATTACTATGGAATGCTCTAAAAGTCATAGGGGTTTTTGAGTTATGGCTGCTGAATTTATACGATTCGTTTGAATAATCGCGACACATTTTAATTAAACTTGCAGCAATTTTTCATTCTTTGTAATCTTTCCGATTTCAATGTTACGCCGAACGGAAGCGCAATCAAGTAATTTCTGTCATTGAATATATCAGCAATATATTTGAATGATATCGCAGGTAAATACATGATGATCTGTTCATCGAAGGAAGAACAAAAAACAGCATTGATTGCATAATTACAATCCGGCCTTTGAGATCTCGTAATGTCAAATGGGTAAACTGATGTACTAACCTCTTCGTTGAGATTGCTGATAAGCAAGACGCACGAGGGCTGAGGACTACCAGGTACCCGAACACCAAGTGCTCCGGCACCTAGATTGAAGCCTCCAAGACCGGCAAGTCCGCCAGCTGGTGGTACCCCATTGTAGGGTCCGGTAAGTGGCGATGGCAGACCGTGCATCGCGGCGAACGGTGACGCCAAGACGCTCGGTGCGCCTGTAATGGACTCTATTTCAGACAAATTTAACCAGATTATTATCGAGACTCCTTGGACACTTTGACAAGGCGATCCACTACTTTTCTTTCGCTTAAACGAAAGAATCGCTGCGACGCCTTTTCAATTAGTTGGTTATTAAACAACTACTTTTTTCGTGGACCACAATAGTCGGGGTCGTTGTTAGTGATCGTATGAATTTATTAGTTTTTTAGTTACGCAGTAGGTCGAGTTTCAGTTGACGTCGTCCATAATATGTGCTCTTTATTGCTTGATTAATCAAGTTATCAGAAAAATGTTGAGTACGACATTTCGGTGCACGTGCAAAATAAACAAGTCATAGACGCTAAGATTACTAGTTGAAGAAAGAGAAAAAGGCATTTGCTTCAAATCGGTCAATAAATGTCGAAAGTAGAGAGCTACACAAAATAAGACAAAGTGACGTCAGTCTACGAAAGTCTCTATGAAGGAAGACTCACCGGGCAGTCTTGCACGGGGCTGCGAACCCGCGGCCCCGAGAAGCAGCTGAGGCAGCAACTCACCTCCAAGGGCAAGGGAGGCCGCGTCGATACTCGCGTCACCCGTCGGCAGATTTGGATTCGTGTAGTCGCGCGACTTGTCATTGTTGTACTTCACGTTCAGATTCTGCATCTTACTGTAGTCGATGCGCAGCGTGCAACACGAATTGTAAATGTTTTGCCCATCCAAGTTCTGCAACAATATATTTTTATTCGTTAAGTCATGCAACGATTTTTTCATACTTTTTATAAAATAGTCGGTGAACGTAAATACTAGTTATTTTAAGCTCTTAAAAACTACAATCTGCCATTCGAAAAGTCTATCCATTCATTACCGATCAATCCCTAAAAAAACGACGTATAAATTTCTAACATATTGAATCATGCTTGAATTTTTTATAGAGCTTTGCGTATATGGGTATTAAAAAACAACAACAAAAACAAACGCAAAATTCAATATTTCCATTGAAGCGCAATCACGCACGTGATAGAGAATAAAAAAAGGATGGCGCGAAACGAGAAACAGCGATTGGTGGCAGTATTGTGGGACAATAGCCAGGCAGAGCGTATACGTACCACCCTTGGCAATAGAGCGGCGCGCGAGATTTTCCAACGAGAAATCAAGGTGTAAATCAAATCCGACAGCGCGTTTACGAGCTTGGTGTGTACTATATAGAAGCCAACGTGCACGGAAACACCGAAAACATTGTATATACGTTAGCTACGCGCGTGCGCGTGCACACACACACACGTGTACTCGTATACACTACTAACCCGTCGTGGTTCTTTGGCTTTCGTTAATAATACAGTGACGGACTCGCGCTGCCTGACGCGCGGTTGCGGTTAATTTGCGCGCAGCCCTGCGCTATACGGCAGTAAGTTTCTTTTGTGCGAAATCAA